TGTCCACTCAAATGCACTCACCCACATCATTGTCTCAAACTATTCACCATTCTACTGACTCAAAGGGGAAACCTCACCATTTCTCCTAGGGGTGCAGGTGCATAGCTCCTTGAAAGTGGAGTCGCAGGTAGACAGGGTGGTGAAGAAGGTGCTTGTTTTCATTGGACAGTGCATTGAGTAAAGGAGTTGGAACATCACGTTGTGGCTGTACACGAGCCGCAACATGACAGATGGTGAGACCACTTCTAGGATATTGCATACAATTCTGGTCTCTTTGCTAAAGGAAAGATGGTGCTAAACTTTAAAGTGTTCAGAAAAGATTTACAAGGATGTTTGCAGGATTGGGGGATTTGAGCTATAGGAAGAGGCTAAACAAGCTGGGGCTTTTTATACCCTTGAAGTGTTGGAGGCTGAAGGCTAACCCTGTAGAGGTTTATAAAATCATGAGGGGCATGGATTGGATGAATAGCCAAAGTCTTTTTCCCAAAGTAGAGGAGTCCAAAACTAGGGGGCATAGGTTTGAGGTGAGAGGGGAAAGATTTAAAAGGGACCTAAGGGGCAACCTTTTCATGCAGAGAGTGATGCATGAATGGATCGAGCTGCCAGAGGAGGTAGTGCAGGCAGGTACAATTACAGCATTTAAAAGGCATCCTGATGAGTACATGAATAGGAACGGTTGAGAGAAATATGAGCCAAATGCTGGCCAATGGGACTAGATCAGTTTAAGAAATTTGGTTGGCATGGACAAGTTGGACCCAAAGGGGTCTGTTTCCATGCTGTATAACTCTATGACTCCACTTCTACCTTCTGGATCTCTATACCTATCTCACTTGCAGTTATACCCTCCTTTCCCTGACCATTTACTAAATCAGAAAACTCTATCCTAAAATGTATGCCCATCTCTAGGACCAAGGTGTCCAGCTACAAACTCTCCCTGATATGTCATATTGTCTGCAGTTTAACCTCCAGCTCAATGATTATGAACTAAAGACCCTCAAGCTGCAGACACTTATTGCAGATACGTATTCCTGGATCACCAGCAGTGTCCAGAAGCTCTCACAATCTGCAGCTGCAGAACATCAGCCGCTGTGTTATTATTATGTTCATTAATTACTTTTTCTTAATTACTAAACAGTACTCAATAAACTGGTAAAAGCTGCCAATAACAAAGCCTTACAACTACAAATAAATGACATGAGTTATGACGAGACTATTGTTTAATTTTTCAAAAGATAATTGCCTAAGCATGATATGCAAGAACCACATAGCCCTTCAACATTCACTTTATCGTATAATTTAAAACAAAGAAACGATGGATAAAAAACAAAAATTGACTTGAGAGACAATAATTATTATTACTATTTGATTTAGGATTGTTTAGCCCTTTCTAAATATGGACTGCAATAGTTTGCATTTTCTTGTAAATATTTAGGTTTGATTGTTATGGAACATCTAGCTGACTTTTGCACAAAAGTCACTGAGGAGAAATGTAAGAAAATAAATATTACTTTGGGAAAGAGCATTTAAGGCTATTTCCCTCAATTTAATAAAAATGCAAACACTTCAAAAAGAAAATGTAAACATTTTAAATGTGTCATCATTATGGACAAAGATCAAAAAGTTTTTTTTTCTCCTTCACTGGCCTAATATAGGGTGTATGGAAATAAATCTGAATTAACAAGGATGTTGTCAGAAAGCAGCATCTGTAAACTGTAATGATGAGAAACTTTTGCAGAGATCTGCATTTTATTTGCCATTTTGCCTAAGTTTAAATGATCTTTGCCATTTCAATTTTGTTCAGAAGGCATCTTGTTCTACATTCAACAAAGTATGTAACATTCCTAGATGTTTTCTGATACAATACAACTAAATATGTGACAATTTTGCATAATCCAAAAGCTTTTTGTTTTCATCACGAAAAACATAAATCAGTTTTGCAATATCCTCTCTGTCAGTTCTGACCGCTACGTCCTCAGCATAAACCTTATCTAGTATTCAGCAAGCACAAACATAATCAATTGACCCAAAAATAAAATGTGATTCAAGATTGATGGCCTCACTTTAGAAAAATAAGAGGACACCTTTGTTTGAATTGTTTTTCATCAAGCATGACTCCTGTCAAACAAGCAGGAAAGATTTGAAAAAGCTTGAAGAAGACTGTGACCCAATTTTGCAGCTTCCCGTTAGAAAGAAAATGTGGGAAGGCACACAATCACAATAAGGATTAAACTATTTTCTTTTAAAAAATAGCAGATATATAGTCTAAAATCAGGGGTAAAAGTAACACATTTTAAAATATTTGTGAATGCTGGGCATATTGCATTTGCAAATCGAATTTTAGGCAAGACTAAGTATATTTTATTGAACAGTGTGTTAACAATGTGTTCAAAGATATCCCCAGAAGAAGGCTGCTTTAAATACTGCTGATATTATTCTTTTTTGTGCTTGATTCTATAACTCCAAACAGTGCAATTTAAATCTGCTATTCCTTTAGCCCTTTTCCATGCAGAAGCTGAAATCACTTGCAATAGATGGAATGAAGAAAAGCAACATCCTTCTGAAAGCAATGCATGATTTTGAAGTGAAACCCAGCTCGACAACATCATTTGAAACATTTTGTAAACGACAGCTTTGCACAACCTTTTGTTTTGGTGCCAGCAGTGCAGCTAAGATGTGCTGCATCAGCTTGTAATGGAAAAATCATATGTTTCAACATTAGAAAATGCAGCACAAATTTAAATTTTAAATCTACCGCCAGCTCCCCCAAGAAGACTTCACCGCTCCATTTAAAATGTAAAAAAGGTGCAGGGATTTCAGAACATTACAAGCAAGCATCTACACACCACACACATGCACACATACAAAATTATTCATGACAAATGAATGTCAGGCCATGGCATATTTTCTGAAGCACTTAACCCCCTGCTGTTGATTGACAGTATTGTCCGCCTTTAAGATGGTTTTGTTTAGTCATTACATACACTGTTATGTTGATGACACTTTGGAGTATTTGAGCTTATACAGTAATCCTTTCCAATCCTCATCGCCTCAAATTTCTGACCAAAAATGAGCATTAAACTACCATCTAACATAGAAAATATTTTAAACATGTCAGTTCGCTAGAAAACTCGGGCTATTTAAGTGACAAAAATAAAGCTTGCCTTTAGCAAAGCTGATGCAACCTGTTTTAATCTAAACCAAACTTCTCACAGCCAGCCTTATCAGATAATCACTGGCTGCAATCTTGGAACATGTGTGTTTTTAGCCACAGGCAGCAGTACAAATAAACTGTGCGGTCACCAACATTAGGACTACAATCTTGTGTAAGCATTTTAGAAAAGTAGCTTTTATTAAACTCTTCAGACTTGAGACGGTAGGAGAGGCTATCATATTGTATATATCTACAAAATGAAGTGCTGAGTGGCTTTATAAAAAGGCTGCATGTAAATGTGATTGAAGTTGGATGGAGAAGAAAAGCTCTTTCACACTGAGCTCCAAAGATCTCTCAAGATTTCTGAAGGATGTAGTTAATGGATAACTATGAAACAGATTTCTTGGAAAGAGATTCAAACACAATGTAATTTAACCCAATTGAAGAGGGTAATGTGTATGTGATAAAAGATAGCAAAAACTGAAGAGAATTATAAACTGTGAAATAATAGTACCACTATAGAAGCTTCCTGGTGGCTTCTTTTTGAGTTGTACCAGTTTTATTCAATATTTGACATCTTTGTACAATCCTGCTTGGCCTATTTCAGCTGACTTATCAGTTTTATACAGTGCCCACTTAACATCTGTGGCAAGGACAGGAATCCTTTGTGTCAGATTGTCATAATGGAGGGTCCACATTTGAAACCTTAGTTTTTTCAAAATGGACAAAGGAATTTCAAATGAAAACATTACGGAGCACCTTACTAATAGCACACTGGGTAATTTCAACTCTAATGCATTACACAATGGTTACTCAGTTGCACAATTTTAATTTGGCAGTGATGAGATAAAATTAAATAGTTGGCTGTGTAATCAACTAGAAAACAACGCCCTATCCAATGGTCACAATAAAAAAAAGGCACATGAAGCACAGGGGAGAATTTCAACATTTGGGTAACAGACTGGAGGAATGCTTGGGCTGGCTGCTCAATACTTTGAGTGAGAGGTCTAGTCCATTTTGAGGGACAAGACACATCAACATACATCCTACAACCTGCAAAGCCTTCATGGATACTCTGTAGCTGCTTGCCAACATTGATCAGAAGTAATTTTAAGAGGCTGATTGGTCTGGATGGGAGGCATGATCAAGGGGAGAAAGAGGGTGACAGCCTTGAATGACGGTTGTTCATGTTGACCCTGGGGAAACACTTTGGTCCTTTCTGGCCCTTCAAAATAACTTGAAAACTTGCCTTTTTCTTCTGTCTGTATCTCTTGCATAACAAATTTTATTGAGAGTACAGGCCATGGAATACAATCTGATGAATATGTCGCTCATTTCTTTAGGTGATCTTAATGTCCATCACAGCGCATCTGTTTGCATGGTTTCATGGAGTTTGCAATCAGGTGTATAGAACTGACTGCCCATGAAAACCTGAGATGGAATATAGCAGTTAATGTAAAGTAAGTGGGTAATCTAGTTGTAAATGCACTATTGTGATTTTAGTTCCAACTGCTTCCTTTCCAACAGAGGCAGTTGATGTAGGTGTCACTGTTTCTATAAATAGAATAGATTGCAGCAGTTAGCTATAAGATAGCAACATGGTTTAATGTAGTTTAAAAAAAGGCTTTTCCAAGTGAAATTCTTTTTACTGAACTGTCATGCATATAGTACATAGAGGTTCTTGCACTTCAACATGATGTTTCACCTCAATGAGTTCTATGTACCGTCTTTTATTCATCAATTTCAAAAAATGACAGCTGTTCTACTAAACCTGTAGTACTAAACAATTTTAAGCCACACAAGTGAAATCAGTACAAGGTTGATCATGTTATTTTCAAAACTATCCTACCTGAAGCACATTCTTTCTGCTGGATTTGTCTTTTGCCCAGTCAATCTGAGCACCACATAGGTCCACGTTCTCTGGTTTACAGCCTGTTTTCTGCACACAGAGAGGGAGAAACATTGTCATCTCCAAATCTCAAAAACTGTGACCAGATACTGAAAATGTGAGGATTATTCAAGAAGAAAGAGAAAAGACTGTTTTGACAGGTTCAGATGAAATTGAAAACAATATTTAATAGCTCACTCCAGTGCTCATCACTGTATAAGATAGGACATTTCACATCAAACATCAAAACGTAGGCAGTGAAAGGAGTAATTTATCTGTGTTATAGTGGAATAGAAGTTTTTTAAAAAATCATAGTCGAAAACATAATATGAATATCATTATTTAATAGGATCAAATCTTTAAACATATGTGTTCTGGCGATGTTTTGAGTTTTTCCAAGATTATGGATTTTAATGCTGGAGTTTTAAATAAATTTCTTCCTACCTTTACCCAAAATTGACAGCAAATACTTTCAAGTAGGTGGCTGCAAGTAAAACACTCTTATTTTTCCTAGCAGTGTGTCAACACAAAACAAGAAACAGCACCATCTACTGCCTCTCTCAGTTGTTTCACTTTCACAATTCTTCATAATGACCTCTCTGAGTAAGACTGTCATTTAGTGATCATGAATTGGTGGCTTGCTGCCCTGTAATCCTGTCAGTGCTGGCGAGAGTAAACCAACTGCTTTGACATTCAACCCTGATGACCTACAAATAATACTATCACATTGGAGCACGATTAAATTCAAGTCCTATTGTGCCACTCAGTCCCCTTTCCAGCTTCTCAGGCAGCCGCTCTAGACCGAGGATGACTATATACCACTCCAGAGTTGTTTGTCCTAAGGCAACCAAACAGGTCAATACTGGATGCCTGTCACAGCTAGGGCAGCTGCTGTTTGATGAGGTGGGTGGGTGGGACTTCAGGTCTCTGCAGGCTCCTCTTAATGTCTGGGCTTGGCCTCCTCCTGGGCCTGTCGGCAACACCCAAAATGTTTGGCACACTCATAGATGCCTCTTCTGTAGTTTGGGTCGTCTTGGCAAGACATTCCCATGTGGTCTTAACAAGAGGTTTCTATGACTTATGGGGATGTTGCATTCTATTAGGAAGGCTTTGACGTTGTCTTTTGCCTTTCTGGTAACCAATTGCCATGACAAAACTTGGTGTAGAGAGCTTGTTTAGAATCATAGAATCCCCACAGCGTGGAAGCAGGTCTTTCATCCCAACAAGTCCTCACCGACCCTCCGAAGAGCATCCCACCCAGACCCACCCCCCCTACCCTATCCCTGTAACCCTGCAATTCCCGTGGCTAATCCACTTAGCCTGCACATGGTGTATGCGAAGTAACAAAAACATTGATGCCATTATCATTTCAGTTTAAGTGTGAAAAGTAAAGGGTTAAAGTAAATTATGAAACCACTTCATAATTAAAGTGCCTGTTTTCTTTGTTCACGGCCCAAAAGCAAGCTGGTGGCAGCCAGCCATGGTGCCTGAGGTCTTTGCCAAATGTATCCTATGTGCTAAGTCCCCAACTGATTTCTGTGGATACTGGACTCCAGAGTTCCCGAAAGTCTCACACTGAACGTGGAAAGCATGATTCGATTATCATCTACCATAGCCTGGAAGCACACCATATGAAGGCTCAGCATTTTATTTAGTTTCATGCATTTTAAGTCCTCTAGCACCATCGTCTGACCTCCATCACATGTACAAGTCATGAAAGAGCAAAACATCCTGAAGTCTGCACCATTTCTTCAATTAAACAAAAAAAAACAAAAGAACTGCGGATGCTTAAATCAGAAACAAAACCATAAATTGCTGGAAAAACTCAGCATGTCTGGCAGCATCTGTGGAGAGAAATCAGCCTTAGTGATTCAGGTCCAGTGACCTTTCTTCAGAACCATTTTGTTTTTATTTCCATTTTTTCAATTAGCTAGCTTCAAGAATTAGTGTAAGTTTTAGCCATTGCATCTCACCAGTAATGTAGCATTGGTTTTCTTGAAGAAATAGGGTTGTTAAGATAGTAACTATTTAAAATAGGCTATATCTTTCTCCTTCATGATGGAAAGCAAAATCCACCTCTGGAAAATCCATCAACATTTATTTGTTACAGTCATTGCTGAACTCTAGTTATTTTCCAATGTTTCAGATTGCTGGAGATGAATATTTAACTACTTCTGAGTAGTTGCTGAGTTGTTGAAGGCGAACACCTGGACGATGGCAGATGATAATTGAGCAATGCTTTTAATGTTCAATGAGAGATTGGGTAGTTCAAATCATTTATCTACTCTGCAAATGGCCTGAGCTGATACTTACAGGAGAATCCCATACATCTGGAGCCTAAAATTCATGAAAAGTTAATCTGCTCATTAAAGTCTGTTTACAGAGCATTAGACCAGGAGCACACTTTAATCATAATAAGACCATAAGATGTAGGAGCAGAAGTAGGTCATCAAATTTGATCTAGCATTCAATGAGATCCCTTGGTCCAAAACAAAATCATGATTGCAACAAATTGACTAACAGTGGTGGACCCATAATTTTTTTTTGGGTGGACAGCCAAATTTTCTGAGCCATGGGACATCATAAAAGGTACTACATAAATGGAAATCTTTCTTTCTTTTCCTACTTTACTTACATGATCACAGCTCAAAGGAACTTTATTGGCCGCAAAGCACTTTAAGATATCTTGTGGCTGTCTTACAACTAAGTGATGGGAAGGGAATGTGGGGAATTAGATCCTCTCTTTACAAGACCCTCTCTGTCAGTTGGAACAAATATTTATACTTTTAGCAGCCAGGCACCACAATTCCATGGGCATATAATTAACTAAATTAAAATGAAGCAGCCAAAATACAAGGTTTTCTCAAGTGAAACAAAGAGGAATTGTATTACCTACTATCTTTGAAAAATTTAAAACCAGATTTCCAACACACAGGCAAACACAGGTAATGTGTCTTACAATTAATGGATGAATGGTTTATTGTTATGTGCATGTTAAAGTGACAAATACAATAAAATATAGTGAAAAGCTTCCACCGTTACCATGATCACACACCATTTTGAATAATATAACAATAATAATTTTAAAACAAGATTCAGCTTGAACAGAGTCCCTAACCCTTCTGCCACCGCTTCACCACTGCCGCCACCAACGCCGCACCCAACCAACATTGAAGTTGCCGGTCCTCAGGTGTCATCTCTCACCACTGGCCAAAGTCACCTTTGCCGATGTAGCAGCTGATGCCAGGTCCTGTGCTCGCCCCTCCGTTGCTGTCAGATTCCCACTCTTGGGCTCACCAGCCGCCTCGCCACTGTCTGCTAGGGTCTCGTTCTGGGCTCACCAGCCACCACCATGCTCCAGACCCCGATTAAGCCGCTACCCTACTGGCTTCCACCTTCCTCAATGCTGTTGTTGCCAATGCCGCCACGACCAAGCTCCCCCGAGAAGGTAAAACGAAAATGACAAAGAAAATGAGAAAAGCAGATGGAGTGGACAACCCTTAGGCTCAGGAACTTGGATGCTGTCTACTCTGCTGCTGCCATCTTGATTTGAATTGCCAAAGAGAGTTTCTTATACAAAGGATGGAAAAGGCACTTGCATTTTGAAGTTTTTGGAGTCCTTGAGATGTTAAATTTTAAACCTGCCACCAGTTGATTATTCATTGACTTGTATCATCAGCAGTGCTGAAGTTCCTCAGTGAATGGCTGTTGTTCCAATCTGCTTTTTTCACAGGGCACACACTCTAATGTTGAGACAGACAGGTAGAGGGAGGCTTCCAGCTTAATTTACATGTATTTTTCTCTCAACGTTGCTGCTCATTAGCCAAGAGGTGCTGATCAATCAGATGTTACAGATCTGTGTTTCAACGCATTTTTAAAATTTCAGATCAAACTTATCCCAGTTTACTCATGGTTTCCTCAGCTTGGCTCAACCTGGTCAAGTGATCAGAAGTGAGTATTACGAGGGGGCATAATTTTAAGGTGATTGGAGGAAGGTACAGGGGAGATGTCAGAGGTAGGTTCATTACATAGAGTCTGATGGGTGTGTGGAATGTGCTGCCAGCAGTGGTAGTAGAGTCAGATACATTAGGGACATTTAAGTGACTCTTGGATAGCACATGGAGGATAGTAAAAATGTAGGGTATGCAGGGTAGTTTGATCTTAGAGTAGGATAATAGGTCGGCACAATATCGCGGGCCAAAGGGCCTGTACTGTGCTGTACTGTTCTATGTTCTATGATCACAGCAGCTATTTTAGATCTGTTTTTAAAGGGAAAGCACTGTGGTTTCTGGAAATCTGAATGAAAAACAGAAAATGCTAGAGAAAATCAGCAGGTCTGGTGGCATTCATGGAGATAGAAAAATAATTAATATTTCAAGTCCAGTATGATTCCTCTTCAGATGAAAAATATTCATTTAAGACTCAAAATGTTCACTCCACTTTCTCTCTAATGATGCTGGCAGAGTTTCTCCGGCACTTTCTCTTTCCAATTTAGATTAATATTTGCCCTCTTTTGAAAAGTAACTTTTGTCCATGAACATCTCAGGTATTAAAATCAGAGATGAATATCTCATATTGATAATCTATGTGACAATCCCATACCAGTTGTGAAAGGTGCTGTATAAATTTAAGTATTTATTTTCTCTCTCTCTCTCCCTTAAATATCTTAGTCAGAAACAAAAGTTCTTGGATTCAAAAAAATGCCAGGTTTTAGTGTTTCATTGTTCTGATATATTTGGTACTGAGCACCAAGTTGCAGACAGGAAAAGGAATACTGACCATCAAGCAGCGAATCTTGCTTGTCTACAATATTTTGCAAGTGTTCAGCAAAACATGTCATACCAAACCACACCCAGAAGGCATCTTGTGCCCACAAGAAATCGACTTCTGAGGTTAATCAAATTCAAGAATTATCATGGATAGTTACTTCAAAACTATATTGAGGTGGATAAACACAATGCAGTCTAAAACACGGAAAATATATTTGATTTCACTCTGTTGATGCAATGATCGTAGATATGTTATTTAAAAGTAAAAACATTCCTCATTTG